GAGTTGATCGGGAAGGATCCCAAGGAGCCTGCCGTCGCGCCCGTCGAGGAGGAGAAAAGTTTGGGAGCCCTGGCTCGGGAGTTGATCCGGAAGGAGCCCAAGGAGCCTAAGGAGCCCGCCGTCGTGCCCGTCGAGGAGGAGAAAAGCCTGGGAGCCATGGCTCGGGAGTTGATCCGGCCGGAGCCCAAGGTGCTTCACGGCCACACTCTCACCAAAGACACAACCTTCCGGGACGTCTGCCATGCCATTCGCGATAGTGCCTTTGTCAAGAGCGACTTGCCGGTGATTGTCAGTCTCGAAGTCCATGCGTCGCTGGAACAGCAGGAGACAATGGTGGAGATCATGGAGGACGCCTGGAGAGGAATGCTGCTAGAGGTGACGCCCGAGATTGAGGCGACCAAGGCCCCGCCGCCCTTGAAAAAGCTCCGACGCAAGATTCTGATCAAGGTGAAATATGTGGCACCGGCGGATGACACCCAAGGGGCCGACCAGGAAGATTACACCGACGAGCTCGAAGGGTTGCAGCCGCAGCCGAGCCAAGGTGAAGCAAGCGTAACCAAGACCAACACCAACGCATCCGCTCCGCCACCGAAGCCGTCCAAGATCTCGCACGCCCTGAGCCGGCTGGCCGTGTTCACTAAGGGGTTCCATTTCAGTCACTTTGCGCAACCAGGTAACCTCCCCCCCCCCTCGATTGTTGTATAGGAGAACACCATGACTGATTAAGTGAACAGAGGCCAAGGTACCCGGGCACGTGTTTTCCTTGTCGGAGAAGGCCGCTCGCGCCGCATATGCCAATGACCGCGACGCCCTCTTCGAGCACAACCGAAGGCACTTTATGCGGGTTTATCCGTTCGGCCTGCGTGTCGATTCCTCAAACCTCGACCCCACTTTCTACTGGCGCCGGGGCGCGCAGATCGTGGCCCTTAACTGGCAGAGCTTGGACAAGGGCATGATGCTCAACCGAGGCCTGTTTGCCGGCGAGGAGGGATGGGTCCGCAAACCCCAGGGCTACCTGAGTACGGAGGAATCCTCGGCTCCGGTTCCGAAGGTCCAGATGGACCTCTCGATTGAGTTCATCGCCGCTCAGAATCTGCCTCTGCCCCCCGGTGACACCAAAGAGAAGGGGTTCCATCCCTACGTGAGCTGCTACTTGCACGTTGAGACCTCCAATGAGGAGCCCGACAGTCCCACCGATGACGACACCACCGACTCCGAGAAATACAGCTACAAGCGGGAGACCAAGAGCACGACCGGCTGCAACCCAGACTTCAAGGGCCAGAAAGTGACCTTCCCCACCATGACGGGGATTGTCGAAGACTTGACATTTGTCCGGTAAGTGCATCCACCTCCAGCCCAGATGGAAACGAGCTCACCCACTTCCCACAGATTCAAGGTCAAAGATCACGAGCTGTGCCGCGACTCCCTCGCTGCATGGGCGTGCATCAGGCTGAACCGCCTGCGCGAGGGCTACCGGTTGATCCATCTGTACGACTGCGCGGGTGCAGACTCTGGCGGGGCGATCCTCGTCGGGGTCACGAAGAAGCTGGACCAGGTTTCTGCCTAGACGCGCGATCCTTGCCGTCAATCAGCCTGACTAGTCTTTGCATCTGCACGTATCACACTACCAGCCAGACGGACTGGATTTGTTCGTCTGACTACAGAGTAGAACCGGATGAAGACTCGGTCAAGCACACTACATGCAGACAAGTAACGTTACACAGCAGGAGGGGGAAACCATCATGTCAGCGTTTGCCTTTTAAACACGACTGTTCAAAGCCACCTAGACCCATCGTATTCATCTCTGCAGAAAGTAGACACTAGACAGACTGAAGGTAGAAATGCACTATTCCACTCTAAGTACCTTGAGTGCATAAGCTCCATTCGATGACTAAGCCCCACCCCATCCAATCCACGATTCGATCGATCGATCGCATCACTTTCCATCAATCATCCACTCCAAGAACGACCTCAACAGGGCACCCAACACAATAATGGCACCCACAAGCGAGAAGCGCAAACTCGAAGACCCCAATGCCCAACAACCGACCCCAGACACGACCGACAAACGCCCGCGCGTGATCGGACCCTCTCTTCCACCTCCTCAAGCCTCCAACCCCAACTCCGACAACAGTGACAGCGACAGTGATAGCGACGACGACGACTTCGGCCCGACTCTACCCCCGCCTGAAGGCTCAGTCGACATTTCAGCCGCGACACAAGCCGCAACAGCGCTAGCGAACGCGGAGAAAGAAAAAGAAGAGCAAGCAGCAGCGAAACCGCAACGCGACGAGTGGATGCTCCTACCGCCTGAGACCTCAGATTGGGGATCGCGGGTTGATCCGACGAAGTTGCGGAATCGGAAGTTTCAGAGTGGGAAGGGGGCGGGCTCTGGTGGTGGGAAAGGTGGAGGGGTGGATGTGTCGTGGACGGAGACGCCGGAGGAGAAGTTGAAGAGGTTGCAGGATAGTATTTTGGGGGTTGCTGCGCCGGGGGAGGGGAGAGTGGATGGGGGTGGGGGTGGGGAGGGAGATGAGGGGGGAAGGTCGTCGGAGGCTATGAGGGAGAGGGTTGAGAGGTATAATGTGAGTTTTCCATTTCTTTTACTTGGTTGGTGGTTGGGTGGTGTGGGTTTGGGACTGATGATGTTGTTTAGGAGGCCAAGCGGAAAGATATTGCGGCCGAGCATGAGAAGGAGAGGAAAGCTAGGGAGGAGAAGAAGAAAGAGGAGGAGGATGATCCTAGCAGCCGCGCTTTTGATCGAGAGAAGGATATGGCTCTGTCTTCGAAAATTACGGCGTCTCAACGGAGGGAGATGATCAATAAGGCGGGTGATTTTGGATCGCGGTTTACGAAGGGGAAGTTCCTCTGAGGGGAGCTTTTGGTTGGGAATAACCCGGTGGAGGTAGCTGGAGGGTTGCTTCAGTCTCTCTCGCCGATTGGGATTCTATACCCGTGGCTGGCCATTGGCATGGTGGACTTGCTACTCTTTGGTCAATTGGGCCAGCTCGTCCCGGGGTTTGGCCGTTGAGAGGTGATCACCAGGGTGGTTCCATGGCTTCTATTCCGGGCGGACATGAGAAACCTCGATGTCGTCACGCACGGGTCCATGTACAACTCTCATAAAGTTAAGTCCACGCACTGGTGCTTGGCTTACAGTGAGGTTACGTTGTCTAGAAGGTGGTACATCTAGAACCACAGACAGCCATGCGAACCCGACGCGTCAAGCAGTGCTGGCCTTGGCTTATGGAGAATCCACAAATATGACCACTCCACAGGTTTGAAGCTGCCGTTGTGCAAATGACGGCCGTCTCTACCCAACTTGCCGTGGGTGTCACAATCTTGATCTGTGCAGTTGTTATACTCCGATTTGTGGATTGAGCTGGTTCGTCATCGGCTCTCTGAATTGTCCTATGCAAGATCATGTGCTTTTCTGACGCGTTTAGTCCTTCTATTGGGCGGTACTCTATATCTGGAAGTAGATTATCTCTTATACTATTTTGTTTAAAGCATCTCAACATGTACGTGTTGCCCGATTTGGTTCCCAACGACATGTCACATATATGACTGCTTCTTGTGGCTGCTTTGTGAAGGATTCATCGTCATGTCTTGTGCTCCGGATCTATATGGAAAGGATAAAGATACGAAGACGGTAGTTGGACAGCAGGTGCAGTCACAGACTTTGGGTATCGAATGGATAGACCCAACGTTCTCGATACGAGATGCCATGACAAAAAGGCCTCAACCAGATGATACGTGGTGCTGGCGAGACCACAAATGTCAAGCAGCTGCGTCAGCTTCCTGGGCAATTATTCCCTGTTGACATATTCCCCGGCCAACAAAGTTATATCCTCATGAAGCAAGCATAAACCAGGTCATGGAAACAGCAGGACAGCAGGACAGACAGGTGATCACACCGGCCCACTGTCCATCTCCATCCCCGTCAGACATGCTGGTCGGCTGGCCAATGCAGGTCACGGATCAGCGGGAGATCATCCTTCAGGACTTCTATCTCATCGTATCGTATCGTCCAGGCCGGGATGTGGATGTGGGGTGTAACATCATAACCTGCATGGCGTGTTGATAGACGTTGGTCACTGCGCAGTAGTATGATCTCTACCGTGCTTTCTATGCGTTGATGATTGGGTGTCGGTGAGGGTGAAATGATTGTGGATTTGCCCTCTCTCCACTCCTGGGATTCAAAACGAGGCTACCTTAGCCACCGTGCGAGCACGTTTCTTTCTTGATGTTGATGCGTTATCGAGGCGATATGGCAGGATGGATCCCGGTTGGTCTGGTCTTTACTCTCTTCTGTCTCTTTGTCTTTTTGTCTTACTGTTCTGTCTCGAATAATAATAATAATAATAATAATAATAACAACAACAACA